TGGGAAGTTCTTCTTCCCATCCCTAAAGCAGTAACCTAAGACCGTTCCTGTGGCCTCTCACACCAGCGCTGCACAGCGTCGCTTCGCTCCAGTGTAGTCTTTGCTGTAAATGTCGGAGGAGACGAAGGGTCTCTCCCCAGCTCAGCCGTGAGGAGCTGTCAGCTGCTGTCCTCCAGCTGCAGCATTGCATTAAATCGTGGTGGCTTTGGTGTTGGTTTTTTTTTTTTCAGCAATGACACTTTGTCTTATTTAATAATATATTTCAAAATATGGAAACAATGGGAACTATTTTATAATGGATAAAACGTGTCACAACGCTTTTGAAAGGTGGCTCTGTTCGCTTCTGACTCAGTTGAACCGCTTGAGCTGGGGTCTTCTCCAGCAAGCAGGGCCCGGACCCGTAGAGCACCGGCACACATGCGGCAGAGCTGCTTCCTCGGCGTTTAAATCGGGGACGCTTGCAGGATGGGGGATTCTCCATGAACACAAACCTTTCCCCTGTGCTGGGTTTTGAAGTGTTTCCAATGACACAAACTTTGGGGTTTTTTGAGCAGCCGGTTCGTTCACCGAGCTTCTATTTGCAGCAAAGGTGGAAAAAAAGTCCTCACATTGGAAAATAAACGGCAGCTAGTGGAAACAGTGGTTGGGAAAAAGAAACTGCAGGGACCTTTACAGTGCTTACTAATTCTCACCCCAACAGGAGGCTTGAAGATGTTCGCCCCGAGCATGTCTTCCCCCTGCACGCACCGCTTCTCTTCTCGCCGCGAGCTCGCTGCTTCTGGCGATGCCAGTCTTGCCAGCGCCGAGCCGAGCTGTCCCGCAGCAGGTCAGCGGGGAGATGGGAGCCAACCCTTGGTACGGAGAGAGATGTGGTGGTGTCTGGGAGGTGTTTGGTGCAGCAGAAGCTGAGGAAGGCTGGCTCTGACCATTCCTGAGGGGTCCTTCTGCCCATTGTAGCTCACATGTTCTGGTCTGATCTGGGACCTGGGTGTCTGCGCACCGGGCGCCTCTCAGGGAGCAATCCCTACCCGCAAGCCATGCTGCTGGACGGGCAGAGAAGCGGGTCAGACCGAAAGGTTTTGACGTTTCTGGATGGTCTCTGTGCGAGTCTGGCGGGAGCTGTGCGTTTGCCCTCTGTGGGGGCTGATGTCGTAATCTTAGAAATAATCTGGCGGACAGCGCGGTGCAGTTGGGCTGGGGTGTCTTTTCCTGCCGTCATGGTGTCTGGAGGAGGAGAAGCATTTCGCTGCTGGTGCCAAGCGTTCAGAATTGTTTCACGGCACTTGAGGTATAATCAGAAGCACCGGGGAGAAATTAAGAGGGGAAGAAAATAGACTGGCTTTCCTAACGACCGCAAGGCTAATGGGAGTTAAAAACAGGCTCTGGAGGCAGCTGATGGGAGCCCTTTGCTGGAGGGTGCGTAGAAGCAGCCTACGGGCTGGGCAAGGTGGGATCCAAGAGACTTTTCCTGTCTCTGGGATATTTCTGCCATCCCGGGATTAAGCAAAGAGCCGGCCCCTCTCCCACTGCAGGAGGGGCACCCAGGCCTGGCCTTCTTCAGCAGCCTCTTGTTATTAGTGCAAAGGACGTTCACAAATTGCATCATGCCGAGATGGAGGTTTTTTTAAATTGGGCTAGTTCTGAGGACTTTTCTTTATTTTTTTCCTTGAGTGTTGCCACTTGGGGAAAAGTCCTTATTTCAGAGGGGAGGAGAGCATCGAGCAGCGCTGAAGGCACTCTGCTCTAATTTTAGTGCGCTTTTGTCTCTGATTCCCAAGTTGATGATCACACCTGAAAGCTGGGAAGAAAGTCCAGAGATGGAGACGTGCTTTCTGCGGCCGGTGGTCCAAAGCGTGGAGGTTTGTCCCCAGTCCGGGTCCTCGCCGCGCTGCCTGACCCAGACACCCCTCCGGAGAGAGGACAAACGCCGTGCTCTGGGCTGGGGCTGTGCTCCCAGCAGGATTGGTGAGGGGTTGCCCTTCCTCGTCGAGACGGAGGGCAGCTGTTAGTGGTGCTGAGGGGGAGCTCAGAGGCGGCTGGCCTCGCTCCCTGCTGCGCCAGCACTGAGCGGGGACGAACCGAAGCCATGTCCTTGGAAGCAGCCCCTTTCTCCCAGGGATGTGTTTTCACCCAGGCCGTGACGTGGGGTTTTGTCAGTCTGGCCGTGCAGCCTTTTTGCGGTGCTTTTCAAAATCAAAAGGACTCTGGGCACAAACGACACACAGAACCGTTTTCGAGCTGAAGGTTAATTACGGGCTGTCGTTACTGCAAGAGCTATAGGTTCAGGCGAGCTAGGTGCTTTTTTTTTAATTTGCAGGTTTTTTAAATTGCAATTCCTGCTTGTGAGGCCTTACACTCAGGCAAAATTAAGGAAAATAAGCACTGTCGCGTGGCTCGGGGCTCCTGAAACGCTCCCAGTGTTTTTCTCTGGTCCTCTTTTAAAATACAAAGGAGCGAGGAATCAATCTCTTCTCTTTTACTGCACATCATCCCGTTAACATTAATGAGACCGCGTGCATGAGTAGGAAGTAGGCGTTACAGAACCGGCTCCTCAACTCAATTGTGTTTGGCTGATTATTAGCTGATTACTTTGAGGGAAATTAATTTCTTGTTCTCATTCCTTGCTGTCTGCTGCCTGTGGTTTAGGGAGGACACCGGGGTCCTGCTTGTCCCTGGCCTCAGCCCCGAGCCCGGGGTGTGACGGGTTCCCAGGAGGCAGCGAGGGCTTTGGGAGGGGGTGATGCCAGCAGCTTTCCATACCGTGTGTTCACCCTCAGTGCCTGTCGGACAGCCACTTGGCACTTGGTCCTTTGGTTTGGTTTTTTTTTTTTTAAATTTCATATTTTTCAAGGGCTTCTGCAGAGTACAGGAGAGAAAGGGCTTTCTAAATAAAATTGATTTTTATCAGCGCATTGCTGTGCCCTTTGTGCAAAGCAGACGGATCTCTGAGCGGGTGTGCATAACACAGAAAAGCAAAATTACGGGTTCAACAAAAATAAAGCTGCAGGATGCATTTTAAACCACAGTTCTTGTGTAACCCGGCATTTGGGAGAGAGGCTTCAACCTAAATTATTTTCATCTCGTGAAGTTAACGGCCACTATGGGGTGGGAAGGGGAACTCTGAAGTGCTCGGCTTTTCCTTCACTACTGGCAGGGCAGAGCTGGAGCCCTGGGATGTCCTCCTCCGTCTTGGTGACACAGATGGCAGGGAAGGGAATGGTGTGGGTGTTACGGCACTAGCCCTTGTGCTTCCTTATTTTGTACAGCCCCTATAACTAATTTAAATTCACAGGGTGCCTGTGGCAGGCCGGGATACAAGGCACCTTTCCCTTGTGAATTGGGAGCCGGTCTGGGAGTCCGCGTCCCGCTGCCAGCAGGATCGGAGCTGGTGTCTCCGTCTTCTCCAGGTGTTGGGACCTGCCACACTGGGGCTCTGGGTACTGGTGATGGAGGGGGGTCCTCACCGCACCGTCCTGTCACCAAACCTCACAAGGATGGCTGGAAAAACACCCTGGATGGGACCTGCTGCAGGGTGTCGCTGGGCTGGTCTCGTGTAAACTGGTGCCTGGCTGGTGAAAGCCCCCGTGTGAGGTCTGCAGTTAAGTGGAGCACGGTGAGAGTGTTTCTTCTTAATTAACATCAGGCAAGTAGTCGGGTCCAATGGGGTAATAAGCCCGGCCTAATGCGCCTTGTCCGCATCTGTACTTATCTTGAGTGGTGCGTTGCCAGGAGCAAGACTTGCACAACTTGGGTCATTCAAGAAGCGGTTATTGTTCAAAATCTGCTTTTAAAAGGGACCGGTTGCTTTCAGCTCGGCAAAGGTACCAAGGTCCCCCAGAAAGCCTCGCCGTCTGCCGTGTGTCGGCTGCTCCAGAAAGGGAAGGGAAAATGAGCAGAGTTGCTGCTGCTTGTGTGCACTCACACTCTGCAAATCACGTTGATTTTCCTTTTCAAGGAGACGATTCATCTCCACAAATTATCGCTTTTTTTAATTGTTCTCCGCAGCAAACGCTCCATTTCCGACCCTATCAACTGCCAATTAGAGCCAACTCTAAACAGCAAAACTCCTGTTTCTAAAACTGGGCTCGTTTTGTTTTTTAAACAGCTAGCGTAATTGACAAATAAAAGCCATTTGAATGTATAAAATGTTCATTATCTCTGTGGGGTGCCGAGCAGCAAAATATAAGGCAGATTTCCCTTTTATTTTGGTGTGGTCGTTGGAACGGCTGTTGCGAGGCCGCTTGGCAGAGCGTGGTGCTTTAGCATTCGGTCTCGTTGCCCAAAACCCCGATTCTTTTCATTGATGAATTGAAGCCGAACGCTTTGGCTACGCGTGTCCCACGCTCGAGGCTTCATCTCCTGTCGGGAGAGTGCAGCCCTGTCGGGTGTGAGTGCATCGGTTCACAGCAGCGGCCCCTCAGCGGAGTAGGAGAAGCAAATTGCCGGCCCATCTTACTGCCCGGGGCTGTGGCAGCGGCCATCTGTCCATCTGGACCGGTGACTCTCCAGCTCTCGGCTGTCCCAGGGAAGCTGGCAGCTGCTCTTCTCCCGCCTCTGCCCGCTCCAAGAGTCCCAGGGTTTGACTTTAAGAGCTAATGCTGTTTCCCATGCACACCGCAGAGCTGCGGTGGTGGTGGTCTGCGTGTGGGACCGAGGGTAAAACCCTCTGCGTTTACTGCGGCGTTTGTCCGCAGTGTCATGACTTCTCTGCCGGGACCACCGCTTGCTGCCGGCATTGACGTTCACTTTCCAAGAGCGGTGCCTGGAAAGCACCACTCGGATGGGGCAGGATCTGTGTGGTCCACTGGGCTTGATGGTGAAGTTGGTGTTGACGGTGTTAAGCCCAGGGCTGCGAAGCCGCATTAAAGGAACTTGGAGTGAGTAACTCCTCTGCTCCGGGAAGCTGTTGGGCAGTTTTACTGGAGGAGGAGAATCCGAGCAACTTCTGGAGGCTAACTCTGACTAAGCTCTGCTTTCTCTTTCAGCAAAGTACCTTAAAGATGGATATAGAAGACTGTAATGGACGATCTTACATATCTGGTATGTCTGATCTTGATTCTTGCCAGCTATTTGGGGTTGCTAACGTTTTAAGGTGCTCAGTCTCATCCTCAGGGTATAAGCTGTCCTGTGCTCGGTCGCTTTGCCCAAGGCTGTGCTGGTGTTGCCATCACAGATTATGCATTGAGGAACAGTATTCAGAACACCAGCATGTTTCATTAAGCATCTGAGAACTGTTAATGCCTATGGCATAATAAACAGGCAATTTAAAAAACACTACCTAGGCTGAGCCTTGGAAGTTTGCACTGAAGTTTCTGTGCTTGTGTCTTCACCTGCTGATGTGGTGGGTGGCTGCTGGCACGCCAGCGGTAGGTGAAATTTCAAGCCTTGCTGCAAGCTGAAAGTGAAAAAAACCCCGTATTTCTAGTGATGGCTGCACAATTCCAGCGCCGAAAGGTCTCGGGGAGGTTGGTCATTCCTTCGGGGCTCCCAGCTGTGCTCACGAAATGATGGTTTGGTGGTTCAGTCCCGCTCTCCAGTACGCCGAATGCACAGTGCCGAACCCGCAGATGAAAGCAGCGCGGTATTTAAGACCTCCACAGGTGATCTCAGCCGTGTGCCTTGCCAAGTCCAGCACTATTGTCTGTCGTTGTGCATTAAGATTAAACCCAGGCCGAGTTCCAGACATAAAGCCATGAAATGTCCATGGGGAGAGGGGGAGGCAGTGTGGGGCTGGCCTAGATCTCGGTGCTGGAAGCTGCTGGCGTGCCAGACTGCTCCGTAACCGGCGAGGTCGCACGGACCGGAGCTGCTGTGCTGGGGTCGCAGCCCCAGTGACCATCTCCAGAGGGGACCCCGGGGTCACTGCAGGGATTTAGATTATCTGGTCGCCTGCAGAAACCTGGCTCACAACCAGTGTGGGCTGTAAGTGAAAGCTGGTTTGGTGGGATTTGTTCTTATCTCTGGGGGACTGGTGTTTGCAGTGTGAAAACACCTCAGTTTGTCCATCTTTGCTTGGGAGAAGAGGGGGATTAGAGTAAGATTTAGAAGTAGCAAAGCCAGAAGAAACTCTCAGGATTGCCTAATCCTGCCTCAGTGACAAGAGAGGCAGGAGGAGGACATCTCTGCGCGAGCTGGAGAAGCTGGGGGCTGCTGGGGATGAATGGCTCAGCAGGGATGAAGGTCAGAAGTTGAAGTGCATTGGAAGGGAGAGAGGACCCCGACCGCTCTAACGAGCGGTTGCAGCGGCCGGGACTTGGTGCATCGACAGAGCTGTGCGGGGGACCTTGCACAACGCCCCTTGGCATAAACCACATTGCGTCTTGCCCGTCCTGACAAAGTTCATCCTCGGGGTTATTGTGTGCTCCTTCTTTCTGTGAAGATTTCCTCTGCTCCCCGGAGGATCCCTGCTCGGGTTAGACGCTTGGCTCCTCTCAAGGCGCTCGCTGCAGTTTGCTGCTCAGGTTTTGGTTGCCAGGATGTCTCCGTTAAATAACAAAATTCTTCCCTGCAGCTGACCGGTTGCACTGTGCCAGGGTGGCTGCCTCCTGAACGCGGCTGCTTTCACAGCTTCGCTCGGCAGAACCGCGTCAACCCGGCACTCACCACCGTCCTCCAGCCGAGTTTGGGGGTGTGTGTGGCCGCACTCGGTGCAGAGCTCCATGTCGCCTGCAGAGCTGTGGCTTTGCTTTTCCGCGGGGAGTCCCACGGGTGAGCCTTCCCCTTTCCCCACGGTCCCTGCAGCAGGTCCGTGTTTCCCCGCGAGCATGGAGGTGCTGCAGCCCAGAAAGAAGGTCTGAAAAGAGGCAACAGCAAAAGCCCATCTCCCTTGGCGCAGCCTGGATCCCTCGTGGGGTGCATGTGAGCTTTCAGTGCTGCAAGTCCTGGGGCTCCGAGGTTTAAGCCGCTCCTGGAGTTTGGAGGGAAGGGGAACGGTTAAAGGAGGAGAGAAGGGAAGAGCAGTGTTACAGGAGCTCTGCGGGGCCGTCCTGCCAGGGTGGGCTTTCTTTTTTGAGTTCCTGGTACTTGGGGAGCAAAGCCTGTCTGCCTGGCCTGGGGGTCAGGGCAGGCCTAACGAAGATCGGCTAATCGTTAGGGTCAGGGTCAAGGCCTACCAATTAGCTGCTTCAGGTCGCTGAGCTGCTGCGGGTCTGAAATGACTAGAGGAAACAAACAGCAGAGCTCTCGAAACTTGTTTCTGTGAAATGTGTTTAATTAAACGAACTCTTAAAAAGTTCATGTTCATCAAATAATAATGTCACTGAAAGCCCGGAAACCCTTCATGTGAAATACTTTTTCTCCTTTGAATTCTTCACAGGAAAATAAGTCAGATTTGAAACAGCTCTGGTAGAGACGGAGTTGTTACTGCAGAGAGGGTAGGAACAAGGTGGAGGTGGGCAAGAGACCTCTCCATGCTGCACGCCAGTTCCTCGGCTGGCACCTCCTGAGGCTGTGAGTCCTTCTGCAGACACTTAACCCAAAAAAAAGGGCATTCGGATTGTGCCGATAACGGCTTTCCTGCTCTTTGCTTGTGTCGGTCCTGCCTGCTGGGCAGCATCACCTTTTCGCAGGTGGTAAGAAGGACCGAGCACCTTGGTCTGTCCAAGCTAGCACGGCCCTGTGCACAAGAGAGCACCGGAGCAGCCTCGTCAGCCGCCCCATCCCAGACTGAGGATGCCCCGTGTGGGCAGGGTGGGATCAGGTCCCTGTCCCACCACGTTTTCCCGTGGGATCCTGCCCTCCCTTGCTCCAGTCCTCTCCGTGGGATGACCGAGCACCTTCGGAGGTCTACTTCTTCTGCTGCCCACGTGTGTGCGTGTCAGAGTCTGATGGGAGACGGGATGTTTTCAGGCTGTACCCCCCTGGGCTGCGCTCCCCAAAACAGCCCAGGTCTCCTCCAGTTTACCCTCTTTTAGGTGGGGGCCGGGCACCTGAGAACGGGGTTAAACGCTCTCAGCTCCTTGGATAACTGGGCTACAGACAGACGAACTGTCTCTTGCCTGACGTTCAGGTTTCCATTTGTTTTTTTAGAGCAAATGAAATGTGACCCAATATTTCCTGAAATCTCAAGTCTGAAAAGTTATCAGAGAGGGAAATTGCTGAGAGACCGTCGAAACCAGGCGCTGGTTGCTCCCAGGGGTGGGATAGTGCTTCAGC